AGTATATTTATAAACGTATTAAAATCTAAAAAAACAAAAAAAAAAAGTCAGGAAAAACATGCTTGAGAAATCACAAATATTTCCTTTATTTTTTTATTTTTTGGTTTCTTTTTTTTCTTTTGTATATTAAACAAACTGAATTAGTTCCAGAAATGTTATTATAATTATTATTTGGTTAGGAATTTTTTAAAAATCTAGAACATAATCAGACTTCAGGCGAATATCAAACGATTCTCAAGGTCTTTTGACCTTCATAAACTACAAAGTATGTTGTCCTTTATTCGTGAAGAATGAATGATAGAAATTATATTTCAAGAGGCCTCTTTCGTGTCATTATTTAATTTGTTCTGATTTTTTTTATTACTGTGATTAAATTTAATATTATATATTGAATTCTTGAACACGACATATACCTTCCCGCTTCATTGAGTAAGAATTACAACAGTTGTTATTTTATTTTCTCATTCAAGCTACAGATTTGTTTATTGGTAGTCCTTAGAATAATTTTTTCGATTCGTTAAAATATATTAATTTCTTCATTGTTTCGTAAGCACTTTTGAAATTTACAGAGACTTCGCGAAAGTAATCTGTTTCATTTAACACGTGGTTTTTTTTATTGGTTAAACTATTTAACCGTTATTTTAAAAAAAAATTTAAATAATAAACGGTTTTTAAACACTTTTTATGATAAAATATTTTTATTTTTTACTTTATTTATAAGTTTCCCACGTTACAAATTACTGTATATTGTTTTAACGTACCGTATGTTCTGGGACTGTCCGTTAATTACGTGTACTATTCGTAATTTCTAAATAATATGTTCTTATAATATAAATATTTTAAATATTATTTTAATGTACATGGAATGTACTTTAGTACTTAACCCCAATTTGTGGTATAATCAAATTATGCATGCCTGAAATTATAAAGGAAAGTTTCTATTCTATGAATAAACAATGAAAGCATGTACTTTTATTCTTAAATTATTTTATAGTAATATTTTCCATATAATATATATATATATATTTACTATTGAATAACCTATAAACAAACTATTATTTCTGCATTAGAAGAATGGGATCGGGTCTAACTTATCGAGCATAAAAATTAGAATACTGTATATATAAAAAAATAGGCCCTATATAAATTATATATATTTATATAAGGGGGGAAAACTACATTTTTTTCCCTTTTTGAGGAAAATAAATAATTTATTTTTCTAAATAATCTTTCGTTTATCAATCAATCGTAAAATTGAAAATATTACATGCATTTCTGTTGCGTCTTCCCAATTTTACGGGAAATACAGTTAAATGTAAAATAATATAGTATTTATTTATTTAACATTGAGATAAACTCAAAAGAATTCTATCTATAAAATTTTAAATTTATATTTATTACCTTTATTAATTGAAATTCAATCCTAAAATGTTAACAGTACATCAAAATATGAGTCATGCCTCTTTCCATCCCTATGGGGGAGTATTTTAATGCCCATAGTAGGTTCAACCAAGGCCACAATGGGTTTTTTTGAGCTGTGAAAGAGAAGACACGACATATCCGGATCACATTATTGACGTTAATTTCTGTGATTCCGATCTAGATTCGAATTCGGAACCTCAAGAATGGAAGCTCTGTACTTGAATCTGGGTCCTCCAGAGAAGCAGACACTGTCTGGACTCGAAGCAGGGTTCCCCAAAATAGTAGACTAATGATCTTACTCGAACCCGGATCACCTAGAACAGAATGTCAACGCCTTTATCCCTTCAGCGATCCGCCTTCTCATCTTCTGAAGAGGTAAGACAGCTTTTTCTGGAAGTACAAAACTTTGTATTAGAGATGGTTAGAAACAAAAGCATTTCTTCAAAATCTGTCATTATTTAACTTACTAAACACACCCTTAAAATCTACTGTTTCAATTCCTCCTGGTACATTTTTTGAATGGTGTTTAGGAGAGAATCACTTATGCTGTATCTACAGTGAGAAATTGAAACCTTTTAAAGAGAAAGCGAATTTTTTTTTATATTAAATTTAAAAAGTTCAAGAGATGAGAGCAGGAAAAAAGAACAAAAATCACAAATTGTTTTACGTGTCTAACACCTAAGGAGGAGCAAGTTTCCTATATAGAAAGTCTTCCTGGAAAGCATCCTCCCAGATCGCCCACATGTTGCCTTATCTCATCGATCCAAATCGTCTTGACCGTTATTTATTCCGTCACGAATATAAAACTCAACCCACTACATTAAGTATGACGTATATAATAAAACTATCACATAATCGAGTATATATATGTAGTAAAAGGGTGTTAAAGATACAACGATGCACGTGAATATAAAGAACCACACTGAAAATACCATTTAAAGTAGTGTTTTCACGGAAACACAGTAAAATTTTCAGGTGCAGCCTTAGAAAATTTAATATATTTACTTGTAAGGATAATGTTCAGATGTACTTCTTCACTTCTAGATATAACTGAGAGTGATATTTTTACGCCCCAAGCCATGAAATTTGTTTTTGTCTAATGATGAAATCGTGGTTACTTCTTCAGTAATTAATACAGACTCGAACGAAAGGGCACAGACGTAAAAAATTACAAGTGGGAAGAGGGAAAAAGAGAATGTTAACGGATATCAAGTAATCTACTCTTCAAAAGTAGAAAAGAGGTCATAAAATATTATAACCGTTACATTTCCCACGTTTGTCGATACGTTTTGTTCAATTTATGTAGATGAAAGTCGTTGAACGTTGAGTGTGTTAACGCTCCAACTATTGTTCTTTAATTATTATTATTATAAATTTACTTAAAAGTAAGGAATGGCTTGCCCTGTAATAAATAATAATAATAATTATTATTTAAATTAAATTTTTTACGTAATTATTCTTATAGTTGTCATGAGATATATAATGAAAGGTATACAAAACGGCCGTTGTTTGGAAGTTATTTTGTATTTCTTAAAAATAAAATTCCTAAAAATGGCCGAAGTTTAAAGGTGGCCTTTTTGGAGGAGGTTCAAACTTATAGGCCTACACCATATACATAGTTCTTATTGAAAAGAATATTATAAAATAAGAATGACCTAAAATTATTCTTTGTCAAAAATAGGAAAAGTTCTTAGGAAAAAGCAAAAAAGCTAAAGGCCATCAGGCATAAAATAATTTAATAAATTTATTTATTTTTTTCCTTTATATCTTTGGTAAATTTGAAAATTTGGCAAACGATGTTTAATGAGGAAAAGTAATAAAAACTTCCATTTAATATTGTATAAATTTATGACTGTAATATATAATAAAAATATATAAAATAATAAAAAAAAGGGTAGGTGGAATAGGGTTTGTGTTAGAGTTATACTATAACAATGGTGTATATTTAACTTGGTTATGGTTGAAAAATTACATCAGAGATTCATTTCAAGAAATTAATACACAAAGAACTCGTGCAAAAATGTTTAAAGAAGCGTGAAATGATGGAATGTACACTTCAAAGCTGTGTAAATTGTGATGTACTGTACAGCAGTTTGAACACCTGCGTTGATAAAATTGTATTGTATTAGTAAATATAATTGTATATGTAATCTCAATTAATGTTATTGTTTACTGTACACCTACTATTGGTTCATCCTGTATACGAGTATAACCTAAGGATTTTTCAGGATATTTTTAATGCTGAGATGATGTTTAATGTTGCAAAATGACAATACTAATTTTACAATGACGAATTCATTTCGATTGTAGGTAGTTTTCAAGCACTGCGATTAAAATTTTTTACTATTTGAAGACATAATTAGCATAAATTATCCTTAAAATATTATAGGAGTTGATGATATTATGATAGAAGCTGATAATTTCAAAAGTTGATGCTGTATTTGTTACTATATTCTTAGTCGATGCAATTAGGAGTGCCAAGAATCGTACAGAAAACCAAACATTTAGGAGTGCTAATTAAACTTTATATTGTTAATTGAACTGTTATCTGATTTAAAATTATCTTATAAATCATGGCTGAAGTATCGTAGAATTTTTTAGAGGTATTAATTAAAAGTCCATCACAGTTTAGTTCACTAATGGCTGAGAGGGTAACATTTTTTAAACACTGGCACACATCACCAGAGGTTTCTGATCCGGACTCGAACCGTGGTTTCCTGAAGCGTCAGGCATAAGCCTGCCGCTTCAGGAAACTTAAAGCTTTAACGCATGCCTTAACGCTTTAGCCATCCAGCTGTCGGTTCGGGTAGCTACTCCTTATATTGCAGATTAAGATTGTTATGGCAATAAATTCAGGCAAACAACTCCCCCAAGAAGTTTTCATAGCTCTTTCTCGGATATTAGGGACCGTTCCTCGATGATCAACTGGCCTATCCGAACCCATGATGGGTATAATTAAAAGGTTCTTCTTAATACCCAAACAGCGAAAAGAATTAAAATGTGACATAAAGGATTACACAAGTTTATCCCTGAAAAATTAGCTGCATTTATTTATTTTTGGGTCAACCAACTTATTTAGAAGAAAATGTGATTCAGTATATTCAATTTTTTTTTCTATTTTTAATAATGTGATGTATGACCTCGATGTATAAAATGATTTAAAGTGATCATTATCAAACGAGTAAGTCTACGTCTTCTACTTATCACGTGAGAAATCTATACATTAGAAATTATTCACCTTGCTACTAGAAAAAAAAAGTGACGTAAGATAATTTTAAGTATAATTTAATTGTACTTTAATTCCAAATATATACTTAATGTTTTCGAATACAGTTCAAAATTCACGTGGTTACAAATGGCTGCCATCAGTTTTTAAACACTATAGAATGTACAGTACAACACGCGATAAATATTATATATTTACTAGTTTTATCAAATTAAACTTTTATATAGATTTATTCTATTCATTTAGAGTTTAAAAACGTGTAAAGTTTGCGTCAAATTGCGACGTCGCGACGCAGATAGTTTGCGTTTATTTGCAATATGACGTAACAATAAAAAATTTTGAATTGTAACAGAAAAAAAAAACAATGCTAATGAATTAATTTTTTTATCATGCATTCTTGAAGAGAGTTCACGTTTGTTTTCTTAATTATCCGCTCTGAAGTGGGCCTTTTAATCATATTTATCGTTGGTTCGGCCATGCCCATAATGAAGTCATCAGTAAAGAAGAATGAGACCCAACATATCCAGGATAGACTACGCCCGTAAAATCCCTGGAACTGATCGCCCAAATTCGATCAGTGGGCTCTCCAGAGCGTTCGGTTGAGGCCTGAGGCATTCGAGCATAAAGCACGGCATAAGAACTGTGGTGCCATCTGACGATAGAAAAAGAAAGCAAATGGGATGAATTGTAATTTTAATAATTATAATAAAAATTGAGTAAATATTGTAAAATTATCATTATTAATAATTATAAATATTTAATATGCTTATAACGTTTATACGTTTTCGAACATAACGTAGTTGTTGTTTTATAACTGTCTTCATACAGTACACTTAGAGTGGCCCAAAACTTAGTTAACCCAAATATAGTATAACGTATATAAATTAAGTTAACTCGGTTAACTGACTTATGAGTCACCATACATACTACAGAATTTATCCTTTATTGATTGACATGATGACATATGAAGAGATATAACATTAAGTTAGTAATAAAATAAAACACAGTAAAGAAGATTGAGGAAAAAAGTTAAAATTATTTGGAACAAATGCTTAGGAAGTATTTAAATGCATTATTTTGTGGTAAATTATAACATTCTACATGCTGGAAATTTTTAAGGTCTCAGGAAATGATGATTGAACATTACGGTTAAGTATTTCCAAATTTGTACTATTTTTTTTTTGGTAATATCTAATTATTATAAGTTCTACTAAATATTTTTTCCTGATGTTTTCTCAATTTCTTTCCCATACTCTCTCATTGATATACATTGCTTAAATAGAAAAATAGGGCACATTAAAAATGAAAAAGTCACTCAATTGCTGAACTGTTTAGTGGTAAAAGTTCTCAATAATTTTATTTAATTCGAATTATTTATTTTTTGTACAATACACTTGTACTAAAATCTGAAAAAAAGACCTGCACATTCTTGTAATTAGTCTGGCTGTACACACACAGAAGTTCAAAATTTACAAAGGACCAGCCCATCAGACTAAGCATATTAGTCTGAACTCAGGACAAGAAAGTCCCACAAAATTTAGAAAAAACCAACATGTGGTAGTGTACTAAAAATCATGTACATTTATGGAATTATATTTAAATTTTGATATTTATCTGTGTACAAAATTTAGATTTAATTGTATAGTTATTTAATTAGTTATTTTGAGATATATATATATATATATATATACACCAGATCTGCAGTCTCAAGATAAAAGGGAGTATCATCAAATCGCTGGATTCCTCATTTGTAAACGTGTACTTATGTTCTTCTGCCACCATTACATGTAAGCCGAGATACGCTTGCTTCAAAATGCATCGACTACTTGTATTCCCAAAATAAAATACACTATATGTAACCAGTTATTTGTATTCATGCTATGCTAATATAACGTGCCAGCTCTCTGGTTTGCATATTAAAACACATCATCTGTTATTTCTTCATGTAGAGTTACTGGTTTCTATAGTGGCTTCCACGAAATGCTAGTAGTTTCTTCAGTAAGTGCCAGAACAATTCGAAGATAATATATTAATTGATAATTTAATGTAACGCGTATTTCTCTCTTACTGAGTTGTTGAATTGTCTGATCTTTTAGAACTTTCAAACTCACATGATGACCCAATCTGCAAAAGAAGTATGATGATTCACGAGAAAGGTCATTCATAGATGCGTAGAGACGTGCAGTCCTTAACACCTGATGCTTTTTCATGACACCGGTACAGTGCAGCTTTCGCAAGATATATCAAAAAACAATAATTACATTATTAATTATTGTTTAACAGAATAATTAAATTTTTTAAAAATAAAATATGTAATAATAAATGACACTAGTCCAAAATATTTTTTGGTGTAAAAATAGAGAAATTTATTTTATTAAATAGCAATAGATGGCGCAGTTCGTTTGAAAAATGCTTAACAAACTGCGCCCTCTGTTGCTGTTTTGGTAATGTTTATAACTGCGCTACCACTGTAGAAAAAAAAACACTGCGTTTTTAAACTACGTATCACCGATATACGGGAAGGGTTGAAAGTAATTAGGCATTGAAAAATTATTATAATTTATAAACTTTTTTAAAACAATTAGATAAAAATTATTTAAAATATACTTTATTAAATGGAAATATGAATGAACTTTAAAATTTAATGTAAGCACGGAACTATCAACTTCCTCGAAAAATAGAATATCAAGCTACTGATTTTCACAGCTAGTAGTGTGCAGCAATCTGTGTTTCCTTCCGAACAAGCTGTTGGCTATCTTTATTGCTGCTGCTCGTACGATTACCACGGTCATTATTTACCCCATCTATAAAATAATTATAAAATTACATTGATTACGGTACACGAATATGTAAACTTTATTATGGTTGCATTATTACTAATAAAAATTATAATGATTTTTTAATGCCTAGTTACTTCTCACCCAAATGTGGAAACATAAGTAGCTACTGTAACTAATTTGCAGTTTTTCAGTAATAAAGTAATGTATTCCTGTTATATTTAATTAACACGTTCTATTTGGGAGCATAAGCAGATGTGTAAATATCCAAAGAATTAAATAAATTAGTAAATTTAAGAAATTTAGAATATCATATATTAACACAATCACTTTTTATAATCTTGATTTTTATGTATAACAGAGATTTTCATCATTAAAATTCTTGTGACTAAGTTTAATAAACTCACTTGACTAAAAATAAATAGTTGTTCTGGTTTAACCCACGACTTCACCCAACTGTGGTCAAGGGTGAAGGGTTGAGTAAAGGTTAATAGACACGATTTCTGTATAATCTACTTATATTTTGCCCTTCTCGGTTCAGGTTAGTGATAAAGTTGTAGGTGCGATTGTAGGACAATAAGGACAGTAGGTGATCTTAAAATGTCTAACGCATTTTTGAAATGGAAAGATAGGAAATGAATTAATATTTTTAAAATAAGGAGAACTTCACTTGTAAATGATTAATGAAGTACAGTTTACACCCCGGAATACCGTTTATTAAGAATAATTTTTTCAGTATAGCGTATATATATATAGCCTATATATATGAGTCAAATTTCACCACTAGTTGATCCCGTGTTCGCACTTAAAAAGAGTCGGACCACGTGGAATTTTTCGGGTTTTCGTCTTGTGTAAAAACACCTAAATTCCGTTAAAGTTTACCCAAAAGACATTGTGTTGCCTTATCCCTCCTCCAATCCAATTCCGTGTACTTAACTGCCCCCCAAATTCAAGACTTCAGGCAGGTGTTTGGTCTGATTGTGTTTCATGTCATGAATTAAGGTAATTATATTATAAAAATTTATCTCTTTTTTATATATATTTTAACCCAAATTTATATATTTACAGGGACGTTGAATTAGGGTATTCAATTACAATCGAACCCTCCAAACAACGGCCAATTTTTTTGTTCACAGGTTTGACTGTATTTAATAATGATTCGATTTAAAAAGCAAATTTGTTACTTTTATTAATTAATTTTCTTGATTTATTAAGTCCATTAAGGATACAACTTTTGTTTCGATCGATTGATTGATCGGATTGATCAATCAGAAATCGAAATCGAATCGATTGATTGAACAAAACGTCCGTTATCTATTTAAAGTACTATGGATAGATAACCGATAATGATTTAAGAGGGTGTAAACAGACAACTGATGATAATATTTATAGGCCTACTAAACGGTAACCAGAAAAGGTAGGAACTATATCGTGATTTGTGTTGCAAATAAAAAATAAATTACATAGAACGGAGCCCCGAGGGAGAAAAAGATAGAAAATATAAATCATTTAACTTTATTATATAGCCTATATGTTATGAGCAAATAAAAATTATTCATTCAAACCCATCAGTAGCGGAATAGATAAAACCACCACCGAACACTAGAGGGTTCGTGCGATTCCGGCTCACACAGGTTTTATTATATTCCATCTGAGTTATAGTTTGAATTTTCGAATTTATTTTGCTTAATTAAGCTTGTTTTTAGGATCGAATTGATAATTTTCCACTACTTTATTTAAGTATGAGGTAAATTGAGAAGTTATCTTTATGGTTTGAAGAATGTACTGTATATACAGTAGAGCGCCGTTTATCCGAATCAATTGGGGACTGGGGTTGTTCGGATAACTTATTTTCGGATAACCGATTATATACGAAAAAATACATTAACCTATCCCGTGTTAAAATTTTTCTCCGTTGCGTGTCGCTTCGCGTTGAATTTTCGTCGATGTTAAGCCTAATGTAAACTTTTTAAAATAATAATCGTGACTATTGTATCGTTAAAAATTATTTCTTTATTTTTTACAAACAAAATATATTTAAAAATATAAAAACAAAAAAATTTATACTTTAGAAGTTATCTAGTATCAAAAACGTTTGATTCAGCATGACATACAGTCCTCAGAAAAACATCACACAAAAGTGACAGTGCTGCCAGCTAAAACACATACACAAACATAAAAAATATTGGAGTAGTTCAAGATATAGACAAAGATTGCAGCACCACAGCACTAGTGAAAATTTAAATTTGCCGACTGGAATTCTTTCGGATGAGCGACTTNTATATTTATTACCTTTATTAATTGAAATTCAATCCTAAAATGTTAACAGTACATCAAAATATGAGTCATGCCTCTTTCCATCCCTATGGGGGAGTATTTTAATGCCCATAGTAGGTTCAACCAAGGCCACAATGGGTTTTTTTTTGAGCTGTGAAAGAGAAGACACGACATATCCGGATCACACTATTGACATTAATTTCTGTGATTCCGATCTAGATTCGAATTCGGAACCTCAAGAATGGAAGCTCTGTACTTGAATATGGGTCCTCCAGAGAAGCAGACACTGTCTGGACTCGAAGCAGGGTTCCCCAAAATAGTAGACTAATGATCTTACTCGAACCCGGATCACCTAGAACAGAATGTCAACGCCTTTATCCCTTCAGCGATCCGCCTTCTCATCTGAAGAGGCAAGACAGCTTTTTCTGGAAGTACAAAACTTTGTATTAGAGATGGTTAGAAACAAAAGCATTTCTTCAAAATCTGTCATTATTTAACTTACTAAACACACCCTTAAAATCTACTGTTTCAATTCCTCCTGGTACATTTTTTGAATGGTGTTTAGGAGAGAATCACTTATGCTGTATCTACAGTGAGAAATTGAAACCTTTTAAAGAGAAAGCGAATTTTTTTTTATATTAAATTTAAAAAGTTCAAGAGATGAGAGCAGGAAAAAAGAACAAAAATCACAAATTGTTTTACGTGTCTAACACCTAAGGAGGAGCAAGTTTCCTATATAGAAAGTCTTCCTGGAAAGCATCCTCCCAGATCGCCCACATGTTGCCTTATCTCATCGATCCAAATCGTCTTGACCGTTATTTATTCCGTCACGAATATAAAACTCAACCCACTACATTAAGTATGACGTATATAATAAAACTATCACATAATCGAGTATATATATGTAGTAAAAGGGTGTTAAAGATACAACGATGCACGTGAATATAAAGAACCACACTGAAAATACCATTTAAAGTAGTGTTTTCACGGAAACACAGTAAAATTTTCAGGTGCAGCCTTAGAAAATTTAATATATTTACTTGTAAGGATAATGTTCAGATGTACTTCTTCACTTCTAGATATAACTGAGAGTGATATTTTTACGCCCCAAGCCATGAAATTTGTTTTTGTCTAATGATGAAATCGTGGTTACTTCTTCAGTAATTAATACAGACTCGAACGAAAGGGCACAGACGTAAAAAATTACAAGTGGGAAGAGGGAAAAAGAGAATGTTAACGGATATCAAGTAATCTACTCTTCAAAAGTAGAAAAGAGGTCATAAAATATTATAACCGTTACATTTCCCACGTTTGTCGATACGTTTTGTTCAATTTATGTAGATGAAAGTCGTTGAACGTTGAGTGTGTTAACGCTCCAACTATTGTTCTTTAATTATTATTATTATAAATTTACTTAAAAGTAAGGAATGGCTTGCCCTGTAATAAATAATAATAATAATTATTATTTAAATTAAATTTTTTACGTAATTATTCTTATAGTTGTCATGAGATATATAATGAAAGGTATACAAAACGGCCGTTGTTTGGAAGTTATTTTGTATTTCTTAAAAATAAAATTCCTAAAAATGGCCGAAGTTTAAAGGTGGCCTTTTTGGAGGAGGTTCAAACTTATAGGCCTACACCATATACATAGTTCTTATTGAAAAGAATATTATAAAATAAGAATGACCTAAAATTATTCTTTGTCAAAAATAGGAAAAGTTCTTAGGAAAAAGCAAAAAAGCTAAAGGCCATCAGGCATAAAATAATTTAATAAATTTATTTATTTTTTTCCTTTATATCTTTGGTAAATTTGAAAATTTGGCAAACGATGTTTAATGAGGAAAAGTAATAAAAACTTCCATTTAATATTGTATAAATTTATGACTGTAATATATAATAAAAATATATAAAATAATAAAAAAAAGGGTAGGTGGAATAGGGTTTGTGTTAGAGTTATACTATAACAATGGTGTATATTTAACTTGGTTATGGTTGAAAAATTACATCAGAGATTCATTTCAAGAAATTAATACACAAAGAACTCGTGCAAAAATGTTTAAAGAAGCGTGAAATGATGGAATGTACACTTCAAAGCTGTGTAAATTGTGATGTACTGTACAGCAGTTTGAACACCTGCGTTGATAAAATTGTATTGTATTAGTAAATATAATTGTATATGTA